AAAGGAAGTTTAATAGAAAAGTAAATTTAATAAAAATGGAAGTTGAATAAAAATAAAAGTGAAAGTTGCATAAAATTAAAAATGGAAGTTCAATCTAGAAACCAGTATACCTTAACGATCTATTTGGAAATTAAATAAAAAAGGAAGTTGAGCAGAAAAGAAACCAGAACAAGAAATAAACTTGAATAAGAATAAAAACGGAAGTTGCAAAAAATTAAAAATTGAAGTTCATTAAAGAAACCATTATGCCTTAACGATCTATTTGGAAATTAAATAAAAAAGGAAGTTGAGCAGAAAAGAAACCAGAACAAGAAAATCAATGGATTCAGGTATGTCATTTTGTCTTGATTTCTTGATAATACACATGGTAAATGATCCAAAGTGTAAGGTTTATGTTCTGAAATTTATGTTTACACAAGAATGAAAGAATAAATAAATAAATAAAAACACATAATTGGTTCACATCATTTTGGGGTAATAAGAGTCCTCAACTTTGGAGGTCCCAAACATTTTTAATAAAAAAATTTGATAAAATGAAATTGATTACTTAAAATTGACTGAAATTTTGACCTACAAAATTCCCTGATTGAGAGATCAAGGGCTTAATTATTTGTTGTTGCAATTGTAAATTCATTTGGGTATATTATTATTAATTATGTTTCCCAGACAAATAAGGGATTGATTTGGTAATTAGAGCGCCTTTCTTCATTTTTTTTTAATTACAGTAGACGATTTATTTACAAATACGAAGAAAATTATATTATATTAAACTAAATAATTAATTATATAAAAAATATAATAAAATAAGAAATTATTTAGTAACCTTGGAACAAGTCTACGTGAAGTTTTAACTTGATTTTGATTGATCAATACAAAAAGATCTAATACTTTTTATTTAGCTTATGAGATACAACATAACAAGTGTATACATTGAATGGCATGAAATAGAATAATACTTGGTAGTTTGAAAATAATTGGCCCGAATTAATTCGAAATCCAAAACGATGTCGCTTTGGATTTTCTTTTTCTTTTTTTTCCTTTTTTTTCTTTTTTTCTTTCCATTCTTTTTCTTCCCTGAGACAAACAGAAGAAGGAGAGAAGAGGCGAGAAAGAGAGAGAGAGAGAGAGAGAGAGAGAGAGTGAGTGAATAAGGAGAAGAGATTGAGAGGAGAAAGAGAAGGTGAAAAGAAGAAGAAGAAAGAGATATATATATATAGATCTGTGTGTATACATATATTTGTATATACACATAGAGGAGACGGTGATGGCGGCGCCGATAGATGGCTCTCTCTCTCTCTACTGGTGGGTGGCGCAGGTAGATGGTTCTCACTCTCTCTCTCCCCCTCTCTGCCGGTGGATGGCTCTCTCTCTCTCTCATATATATATATATATATAGATATGTGTGTGTATAGATCTGTGTATACACACAGATGTTGATGATAATGATCTGGTGTTGATGATGATAATGATGATCTGGTGTTGATGTTGATGATGATAATGATGTATAGATCTCTCTCTCATATATATATATATATATATGTTTGTGTGTGTGTATGTATAGATCTGTGTATATACACAGATCTGGTGTTGATGATGTGGTGTTGATTTTATAATTTTTTTTTGTAATTGTTGGTTATTGTTGATGATGATGTGGTGTCGTTGACATTGATGCTCTCTCTCTCTCTCTCTCTCTCGATCCCCAACTCCCTCTTCTCTCTTCTTCATCTCCATCTTCATCTTCGTGTGATAACCCTCACCTCTGATTAGTGTTAAACTGTGTTTAAGCATGATAAATACTTGATTAGGATGAAATCCTAATTTGTTTGAGTGAGTGTGTTGCTTAGCATGCATTTTTATCTGTTTGTCATTGAAAGATATGTTCATGTTTTTATTTCGAATTGTGAATTGAAAGCCTTATCGGCGACCAAATCAGTAATTGATTAGTGTTGTATGCTAATTAGGATTTATTGGATTTTATGCTGGGTTTCATTAAAATTCAATTTGGAATGATTAAATTAGATTAAATAATGTTGAACTAATTGAACCTAGGTAATTACATTATTGCCATTGAGTGGTTTAATTCAAGGCCACTACTTCTCTCATCCTTACATTTGTTTAGCATCATTCTTCACTCCACCTTCAAGACCAAACGAGAGAGAGAGAGAAAGAGAGAGAGAGAGAATTGGGAGAGAAATTGAGTTCATCAAGGAGTCTTGCTTGAGACTTAGAAGAAATTGAAGGAGAATTGCATATTAGGCTTCTACATTGGGAATTCAAGACCTAAGGTAGGAAATTTATCCTCATAATTGTGAATTTAAGTTGTTTCATGCATGATTCATGGTAAATTAGTGATTGAGAGTCAAGTTATAGCCTAAAGAGTTGATTTGAGAGGCAATGTGTGCATGCATGTCCATATCATTGAGAATTGAGATCAATTACACGAGACTGCATACTTGCATGCTCATATTTTTTGTTGTAGTCCATGAATTCACCATGTGTTTGAGCTCAATCTTGCATTTGATCATGTTTTGGAGCATTGGAGTTCATAAGAACCCATGCATGTTGTGTTCTTGCATTGTTCTTCAAGTTTCTTTGAAATTGGTGTTCAATTGTCACACCTTTGGGCTTGATTTTATAAAATGATCTTTGAAACATGTTGTACTATGGGTTTCTAAGTATTTTTCAGAAAATTAGCCCAGAAAAATCGAATTTGAAGCTTTAGAAGTTGAGTTTTGTGCTTGAGGATTAACCTGAAAATTCTAGATTTTGGATCCACGCTCGAGTGGAGGACTTTACGCTCGAGCGTGCACTCTGAGTACATGCACTTCCGCTCGAACGTAAAAAGTCACGCTCGAGTGTGAAATGCATATGCCCAGAAGTTCATGTGTTTTGCAGTCCGCGCGAGTGAGAGAATTCATGCTCGAGCAAGGGTCTGAGTCTCACGCTCGAGCGGAGGTCGAGCGTCCGTCAAGCGTGAATATCATGCAACTAGTACTTTTTATGAGTTTGCAGCCCGCTCAAGCGAAGGAAATCACGCTCGAGCGGAGCTTCATTGTCTGCATGTCCGCTCGAGCGTAGAAAGCCATGCTCGAGCGTGGACCCCTATTTCAGCAAATTTTGAAAAGTATTTTAAAGTGCATCTTTGCATCCTCATTCCATCCTAGGCATTGCTACGCCATGTTTAAGGCATCTTAATGAGGATATTGATGTAGAACTACACCAAGTCAAGTTAAGGGGCTAGGTTATTAATCCCAAGTGTGTAACTTAGTGTGTGCTCATTCTGCAACTGTGTAGGGTTGGCACCCGAGGACGCTGACTAGCCTGTCTATAGCCCAGTAATTTGCGAGTAACAATGTTGTAAAGCTATGTTCAATTACAATTATTTTCTGAATGATTAACTGTACTGCTTTATGAAATGATATTATTTACTGAATGAATGTTTGTCCTATTTTACGAACTGTACTCGTGGCATCCATAGCAATTGACTGTTACTGCTACTACTACTGTTACAGAGATCTCTGTCTGTTCCAATTTTTGGAACTACTGTTCACTGTTTGATAGCCATCAACTGACTGTTCGATCTTCTAAGACCTATTGTTTACTTACTGTTCTGCTATGTGATGTACCACATATGACCGCTATGGTTTCTAAATGACTGTATGGCATGTAGTATGAGCCACTGATTGAATAACTGTTATACAGACACAATTGACTGTTTTAACTACTGAAAGGACATTCATTCTTAACCTATTTACATAGTTGTTATTCACTGGGCTTTAACTCACTGTTTATATTTATATGTAAGTGTCCACGCATCGGACCGAAGCTAGGAGCGTCAAGCTAAGCTCCCGTTTTGTCAAGCCAACCATTGTGCCTCACTTCGAGGTTCCAAGTCTGTTCAAGCTCAGGCTGTTTTGGGGTGTTGTAGATTTCCCCTTTTGTCTTTGTGTTGTATCGACTAAATAAGTCTACTGTACAGTTATGGTGAAGGGAGTTGGTCCCCAACCTGGACGTTTGTGTATATGATGTATGTATATATGTTTTGGTTATGAATGTGGTTTTGTTCATAAAAGTCTTTTTGCATAGCTCATTGATCATCTTTTATTTACTGTTTGGCTTCCTTACTCTATATTGCTGTCATTACTGTCAAGCAGGCCTTTGGTAATCACGGATTACTAGCCGGTTACAATGCTGAACCCCTAGGGCGCGGGTTTGGGTCGTGACACTTCGCCTCTGTTTCAGAGAGAGAAAAAAATAAAAAATTTCAAAACAAAGTCGTTTTGAAAAATTGAACCATTCGAGCGAGCCTTATTCGAGTTACGTAGCAGAACTGTTTTTTTAAATTAAAATTTGATAATTATAAAGTAAAAGATAAAAGTATTTTTATCTCAATTTTTATATAATAAGTTTTTTTAAAATTTATTTAAGCTATTTCTACCTAATAAACTATAAGTAAAACTATATTAAACAATCTGACATAAATTTTCAAGTCAAAATAAATTATAATAACCTCAAAAAATTATAACAAGCAGTTCCATAATCCTAACTAACACCAACGCTAAGAGTTCGTTTGTGAAGTGCGATGGTTTTTTGAATTTTTTGATTTTTTTGGCTATTTTAACATGGTCTAAAAAAGTTTCGTTTGAGATAAGTTTTTTATTTTTTTACTTTTTATAAGAGAAAGAATGTAATGATTATGAGTTAAATGTGACATTTATCTTATTAAATTTAAAATTTTATTTTATCTTTTTATAACTAAAATAATTCAAAACTCAATCCAAATGAAATCAAACCAACCCAAGTTGCCAAACGAAGGTTAAGAAAAAGTCCATAATAAAAAAAATAAAATAAACAATCTTTATTTTACTTCCCAAAATGACTGTTAATGTAAATTATGTTTGCCACGCGCAGTCAACCTGCGCGTGACATTTACACTTCTGCAAGAAACATCACAAACAATTCAAACCCTCTCTCTCCTCTGTTTTTTTTCTATCTAAAACTCTCTCTCTCTCTCTCTCTCTCGTTCTTCACCCTTGCTCACCTATTCATCTTCTCTCTCTGTCTCTCTCTCTCTCTCTCGACTTGTTTTTTTAACGAATTTGGACAACAACCAACCACTACAACTACCATCACAACCCCAAACCACCAGATCGCCGGACTCCGGCATGACCCCCCGGCGGAGCTTCAAGCTCCGGCCACCTCCTCCGCCGCCGAACTAACCGCATAATTATCTTCACAACCCTCAAAAAACATTACTACGCAGTTCACTCATTGCTTGATTATTTGTTATTGTTGCAACAATGGCGGCAACAAACACCGCCACCCAACCGGTTACTCCGCCGCCGTCTACGGCGGCGCTCTCGACCGACGAGCTGGCCGCGAAGGCAGTGAACAAGAGGTACGAAGGGTTAGTGATGGTACGAAATAAAGCGATTAAAGGGAAAGGAGCTTGGTACTGGGCACACCTCGAACCCATACTTGCTCACAATTCCGATACTGGTTTACCCAAATCAGTCAAACTCCGATGCTCTCTCTGCGACGCCCTTTTCTCTGCTTCAAACCCATCAAGAACAGCTTCAGAGCATCTCAAGCGAGGCACTTGCCCCAATTTCAATTCTCTCCCAAAACCCATTTCTTCAATCTCTCCTTCTTCGATGCCCAGTCTCACTTCTCCTTCGTCTTCTCAAAACCACCGCAAACGCCCCTCTTCCGGCGGCCGCGGCGGCGGTGGTTCTTCTTCTTACCAGGCTCAACCGCTAGCTATTGTTGATCCGTCAAGGTTTTCAGTGGAAGCGGTGTCGGTGGCTAGTTTTGCCGGCGGAGGCGGCGGCGCTTTGTATGGTCAGCAGCAGCATTTGATGTTGTCAGGTGGGAAAGAAGATTTGGGGGCTTTAGCTATGTTGGAAGATAGTGTGAAGAAGCTAAAGAGTCCCAAATCATCACCTGGTCCGATTCTAAGCAAGACCCAGATTGATTCAGCTCTTGATTATCTAGCTGAATGGCTCTATGAATCTTGTGGGTCAGTCTCATTTTCGAGTCTCGAGCATCCAAAATTCAAAGCTTTTCTTAACCAGGTCGGATTGCCGGCTGTTTCGCCTAAAGAGTTCGCCGGAGCTAGACTCGATGCTAAATACGAGGAAGCGAAAGCAGAGTCCGAAGTAAGAATTCGAGATGCTATGTTTTTTCAAATCTCATCGGATGGTTGGAAATCAAAAAACTACGGACTTGGTGGGGAAGAGAATTTAGTGAATTTGGCTGTGAATCTTCCCAATGGGACTAGTGTTTTTCGGAGAGCCATTTTCACTTCTGGGTCTGTGCCTTCTATGTATGCAGAGGAGGTTTTATGGGACACAATCAGAGATATTTGTGGGAATGTTGTGAATCAATGTGTTGGTATAGTTGCTGACAAGTTTAAGGCTAAAGCATTGAAGAGCTTAGAAGCTCAACATCATTGGATGATCAATCTTCCTTGTCAGTTTCAAGGATTCAATAGTTTGATTAAGGATTTTACTAAGGAGCTTCCATTGTTCAACAATGTGACTGAGAATTGCTTAAAACTCGCGAATTTCGTCAACAACAAGTCTCAAATTCGAAACGCTTTTCATAAGTATCAGTTGCAGGAGTATGGGCAAGCTGGGTTGTTGAGAGTACCATTGCGCGATTACGACAAATCAAATTTTGGACCTTTGCATACTATGGTTGAGGACATACGAAGCTCGGCTCGGGCCCTTCAGTTAGTTTTACTCGATGAATCTTATAAGATTGTGTCAATGGAGGATCAAATTGGGAGGGAGATTGGGGTTATGATGACGGATCCCCATTTTTGGAACGAATTAGAGGCGGTGCACTCACTGGTTAAACTGATCAAACAAATGGCTCAAGAAATCGAAACAGAAAAGCCACTGGTTGGGCAATGCATTCCTCTCTGGGACGATGTAAGAGCAAAAGCAAAGGATTGGTGTTCTAGATTCCACATTGCCGAAGGACCTGTTGAGAAAGTGATTGATAGGCGGTTTAGGAAGAATTATCACCCGGCTTGGGCTGCAGCATTTATACTCGATCCGCTCTATCTAATTAGGGACACCAGTGGGAAGTACTTGCCTCCTTTCAAATGCTTGACGCCCGAGCAAGAAAAAGATGTTGACAAGCTCATAACCCGGCTTGTGTCAAGAGAAGAGGCTCATATCGCTCTAATGGAGCTTATGAAATGGAGGACAGAAGGACTTGACCCAGTATATGCACAAGCTGTGCAGTTGAGACAGAGAGACCCCATTACAGGAAAGATGAGAATTGCCAATCCACAGAGCAGTAGGCTTGTTTGGGAGACTTACCTTACCCAATTCAAGTCATTAGGGAAAGTCGCTGTGAGGCTCATCTTCCTACATGCTACTTCTTGTGGGTTTAAGTTCAATTGGCCTTTCTTGAGATTGGTTAGTACCTCCCATGGGCAGTCTAGGTTAGGCGTCGATAGGGCTCAGAAATTGGTATTTATTGCTGCTCATTCAAAGCTTGAGAGGCGGGGCGTTTCTAATGATGAAGAAAAGGATGCAGAGGTTTTCGACTTGGCAAACGGTGAGGATGATGTATTGCATGAGGTTTTTTGTTCGGTGTAGCATTTTTTTTTTCTTGTTTGAAATGTTAGATTTGTAGGATAAATTGAATTCTTTTTACTACTTTTGCTTTGTATTGATCTACTTGATCTTTGTAGAATGTAGATTTTGGGGCCTCACTCCCATTCAAGCATGATTTATTGGATTTACAGAGAAGAAACTGTTATGTTTTGTGAAGATAGAGAATGCTGCATAAACATGATCTATAATTTTTATTCCTCAAGTAATTTGGGATGAATAATATTTATGAAGAGGAAGGTTTTCATTTTTCTATGTTCAAAATTTCTATCATGGAATGACATTCCTATCATGAAGTTTGTACAATTATCAGTTATGCATAACTGATTTTGTTCTTCTGCGGTTTTTTCAAGTATTTCACCATGAAAATTGATGGTGCAATTTGTTGGTGACCCATGGCATTTCTCCATGATTAGTTACCCATTTCATAAGGTTTTAGCTTTCCATCATCATAAATTCACCCTAGTTCATTCCAAGTCCTATTTAATTTGCAAGTCCAAATTGTGACAAGGCCCCCAGTTGAGTTCAAGATTTTACTTTGACGCAGATCCTTTGTCCGACTATCACATGTTTCTCGCTTAGAAGCTTAATAGACCCCTCCTTATGCCATCATCGTATACATTTTTTGTATGCCTCTGTCAATTAATCACTTCCAATGCAGAATGATTGGTGATCTTTGCCTATAACACTCCAATATCTGTCATTTTTTGGTTTGAAATTTATTTATTTTTTGTATGAAAACTTATGCACTATATGTTGCTCCTATATCTGTTTGTATGTAGGAGGCCTCATTCATTTCCAGTTAATTTGTGATGGAGTTTCAAGTCTAGATTTGGTACTCGAAATCAGCACTAGGACTATGAACCTTACTAAATATGTCTAGTTAGAATTTGAGTTCAATTTTGGATGGAATTCAGGTTGTACCCAGACATTCTTAGATTTTATCCTTTTTGTCGAATGCTTAAAGTATCAGAACCGGGCATTAGAGAGAAAATTATAGTTGTGTCATTTGATGGCTTTGTTATTTTTTCTACTAGAGCTGAAATATCGTGCTATTTTTCTTTTTTCATGACAGAAGCATTCGACAAAAATATTGTTAGACATGAGAGGCCACCATAAGAATGCTCGGATGGCAATAAAAATCATTAGATCAAGATTGAAGAGGATTTTTGCAGAAAGGGTCCAAGAAACGACTCTCGTTTTGGAATTTTTTTTATGTAAAGTTTCATTTGGAAACAGAACAGGCCAGACGTTGTTGCTTGAACTGGTTGGGTGGGATAGCGAGCCAAAAACCTGGGAAGGACTAGCCTTTGTAGCTGGAGGAGCATTAGTGGAGGAGTAACCCCACCACCACCATGAAAGGAGTGGAAGTCTTTTTCAAAGCTTTGGTTGTTATGGAGAGAGGATAAAAAAGAGCCCTTTAAGTGAAATCATCTTTTTGAGGGGTAACTTCTCTTTAAAACATTCCAAAGATGGTGATGTTGTTGCAGAGTCATCGGATTATGCTCTCTCTCTCTATCTCTCTCCCCATGATTGCGAAAAAAGTGATGTTAAGAGGACCCAAAGTAGACGAAGACTGTCGGCATGAAGAACACAGAAGATGCTTTGATTGTCGATGATAGTGATTTGGCAACTAAGTTGAGCTGAGACTTTGAAGCAGCTTATAGAGTGTAGCGAAGCTCATTGTTTTTATTTGATTTTGATTTTTAATTTTTCACTGTCAAAATATGTTCAAGTGCTGTGAATTACTATTTTTCCATTTATTGTGTATATGATTTTGAAGGGGAAAAAAAAAGTGTAAATACATCTATCCTTCATCTGTATAGTCCTCCTGTACGAATATCATTCAAAGAACCTTTTTTTTGGTGGGAGAAAGCATTCAAATTTATCACTTAAAAAAGATCTTAGTCATTGGCCTATTGCAAAGTGAAGATCAAATGATTTTTTTTAATCTTTGAATTAAGGCTCAATTATCTACTGAAATTATCTACTAGGTCAGGGTTTACTCGAATGTGATTTGGTGACAAGGAGGACATCGGCAATGCTCAAGGTAAGACTCTTGTCCATTAATTTTAGGTTACCAAGTTCTTACCACCGATGGCTCAAATCTATCTTGAGTGTCTAAACATTTCATATATAACATTCTCGTATTGTCAAACCCGTCTAAGCCTCACTTATCTATGATAAATAAGAAGTTCTTGAGATGATAAGATCTTTTGTAATGATGTTTATACAATGATTTTTGTGTTTTTTTTATCATAATAACACACGTTAACAAAGTAATAATTCAATTGTTCGGACTTTAATTAAAATAAAAAATGACATTAAAATATGATGCATTTTTTTAAAAATCACTCTAAAATGAAGTTGTTTGTTTCAACTTTAAATATAGATTATTTAATTATCACGGCAAAATCATTACAGAGATATCATACCAAAAAAATCCTAATCCTCTTCCAATAATAATCAAAAAATATATATATATTACGTAATTATCGTTCTTCTATATTTTTTCCCTCTTTAAAAAACACATAGGAGCAATAATGCATATAGATATATATATATATACAACTATTTAAAAGGAAAAAAATGAATCATTAAGAGTCATTATGGTAATCATGAGCTTAATTACTCCAAGTAAAGCCAATCTTCATCATAGAAATAAAAATTAAAAAAAAATAAAAAAAAAAGTCTTTCTTCCATTTATGGAAACCCATGACTCTTCATTTTGCACATATTTTTGGCAAAGACAAATAAGATTTTTGATCAACAAAACTACACTCCATTTCCTCTCATCATTCTCAGACCTCTTCAAGCATTTTGAATTTTGTTCTCTCTCTCTCCTCTATCTCTTGAGTGATGATGGATGGATTTCAGATTCACCCACCCACCTTCACTAACTGTGTAAAAAAAGTCAAAATTGAAAATAAAAATTGTCCTTTACTTACTTTTTAGGTGAGTGAGTGAGGAAGTGAGTAAAAAAATAGAAAGTGATTGGAGTATGGTATTATGGTATACCTTTGGGGGGGTCCTTTAATTACTCATTTAGAGCATCTCCAACGGTAATAGGCATTTTACCTATCTAAATATTACTATAAAGTATATATTTTATTTTGCCTATCAACTATTTCATGTTTCTACTCCAACCATGCTCTTTATTTTAGCTATTCATCTAAATACTATTAATTTTATAAAATGCCACATCAGCAACAAAGATGGAGGGAAATGATCCTAATGATTAAATATATTTTGCCTAGTCTTGAAGGCTAGCTACATGTAGCTAGTGAATGTGAGTTGAGCTAAAATGCCTAACCATATGCCTAGTGCATTGGAGTTGAAAAAAATGAGTTATACTAGGCATTTTGACTAACAAGCATGATATGCCTAGTGGGTTGGAGATGCTCTTAGTGGAGAGACAAATTATTGTCGGCAAGGCTTTTAATTACACTGTTTTTACATATACATAAAGGCCTAGTAACGCTGACTACTCACCAACTCAAGAGAAAATTGTACACCTTGTTTAATTCAACTAACTTTTAATTTTTTTTCTATTTTTTGTATTTTTTTTTTTTAAATTTTAGTGACTTTTTCATAGTATAGTTTTTTTAATACTCCTAATTTGGATGAACTTAAAAATATATATTTGTGAAAAATCTCAAAAAAAATCACAAAAGATTAAAAAAGAAAAAGAAAAAGAAAAAGAAATGTATTGTTTACCATATAATTCTGCAAGTAGGATTTCAGCCATTGATTTGTATGGTTTCACATGATACTCACACTAATTAATAATTAAGATATCACACAGAATAATTTTCACTACATCCGTGTTTTTAATATAAAGGGTGTATAATGATTATTGTAGGACATACAATTTTCCCTTTATACAAGAATCTTTTCCCTCCCAATGCTCATTTTAATTTTAACTTTCTTTTTTTTTTTTTTTTTGGGTGTCTCTTTTACAGTCTCTTCTCTTTCTCTATCCTTTGAATTTGTTTGTAATTTATCCACATATGCATATTGATATTGATTTTGTTGTTATTAAATTAAAGGTGAAATTCAGAGAAGGTTAAGGATGGCAATATGCCAAAAAGTAAAGTTGTCAAGACATTATGGCTTTGTTTGGTTTTATTTTCATAATCTGTTTTTAATTTTTTTTTTTCAAAAAACTAAAATTAGTTTAGTAAAACAAATGAAAAAAAAAAAAAAACACTTACATCTTTATATAGTTCTATTCTTTAGGAAGGAATAAATAATTTTTTTAAAATTTAAAAATATATTTTTTCAAAAAATTTTAAGAAATCAAACCAAACAATGACCTATGATTTTATGAATGCAAATCAAATGGGATCAAAGAGGTACAAGTGTTAAGAGGTATAACATATAACAAAAAATGTGTATTTAATCAATGCAAAATTAGTGAAACATTCCTCTCTAACTTTGTGTAGTAGGAGAATTTCAAGATTTTTTTTTTTTGTTAGGTAAGGTCTCTCGATAAAAATTTTCTGTGATCATATCAGAAAAATTTTGAAATTTTTTTGTAAAAATTGAAATTTCTCTGTGTTTGAACCGAAATTTCTTTGAGTCGAATTTTCTTTATGAAAATGTTGAGAAACCTTAACTGCTATAAAAATATTGTATATCTTTATCTTATAAAATTTTAATATCAAGAATCTTTAAAAAAAAAATTCTCCTATAATCAACTATATTTGAGTGAGATTTATCATGTCACATAACTTATGACATAGGATGTGATTTTTCTTTTCTTTTCTTTTTCTTTCTTTTTTTTTTTAATTTGATGAATAAGAGGTGGAGAGTTTAACGGAAGAAAACTATAGGAGTTGATTTTTCTTTTTGTGAATTTATATGTCAAGTTATAAAAAAAATAAATTTAAAATTTAAAATATGACACCTTAATAATGTAAAATTTGGAAATAAGTTTCCTTTTCATTAGATTATATTATAACTATTTCATTAATTATATTTGTATTTAATTTTATACTTAAAATTTATTAATTTAAATACAAATATTATTTAATGAAAAAATCAACCATATCGGTTCATCCATTTAAGTTTTTATAAATATATTTTAATCGCATACTATAAATTTTAAATCATTAAAACAAATTTGAAATAGACCCAAAACAGCTATTCCAATTCTAATAAATTTAATAGTTGCCGAATTATATTTAGATGAGTTCAAGTTTTGTCTTAAGCCTAGTTTATCAATAGATTAAAATAATTAAAAAATTATTATAAATTTTTACATTATTCTTTTTATTGTTTTACATTTTTTTAAATAAAATTAAAATAAGAATCTTTTTTAATCTTAATTAAAAAATTAACTAAGATTAATTAAAATAATCCAACTCTCGAAGCGTTAGCAGCCGGGTATATAGTTATATTTTGCCGTGGCAAGATCACTTTTGTCAATGTCATAGAAACAGAAGCTTGTTTGGACTTTGTTTGGACAAATGATTTTGTTTTTCTTTTTGAGTCAAATGTCCGTACATATGATGCTGTTGTATGACGTCACTGGGCTCTGTTTCCTCCTTTGCCAGCTGCCCTGCATTCCCAAATTTTTATTTTTATTTTGAAATTACATAGAATTATTTATTCAGAATTTATGTAAAAATAAAACTAATCATTTAAATTCATTTTATTTATATGCCTTACATTTTATTAATATGATTTTCATTGCACATATTCATTTTGAATAAATTCGGAACCCTAATTCTAAGACCCTAGCTTTTTTTGTTAATATAAACTGCTATAATTTTTATTTTTATTTAGTAAAAATTTGTATTAGACAATTTACTGTTATTAATTCTTACAAGTAATAAAAATAATATAAAAAATATTTTTAAAAAATAATTATACTAAAGCTAGGAAAGAACATATTGAATTACTTTTGCCAATAGTCAATAGACAAAAACAATTATTCATTTACTGTGTGTTACGATTTTTTTTTTTTTTGATATTAACAGTACTATGTATTTTACATAATACTTTTTTTATTTATAAAAATATTACATATTTTTCTGAAAATATCTAATAATTTTATACTTTGAGTTACCAGACTTCCTTCCCATACGTTATATATTTGAATGAAGTATTTTAAACAAATTAAAAAAAAAAACCGAAATTACTTGTACTTATTATACAATTCTAAATAACCAATAAATTTCTTTTTAGAAATATCTTTTTATTTTTCATTTTCTTACTCTAACTAAACAAAAACAAAGAATTTATCTTTTTTTCTTTTCTTTTCTTTTTTCTTTTTTCTTTTTCAGAAAATTTTAAAACCAACCAAAGTGCTCATGTATTCCAATTTAGGGGATTTTGAACATTGTTTGAAAAAAATAACTTGTATTTTTTGTAGCAAACAAAATGCTACTTATGAGAACATTATGAAAATCCTAGCGACGACACACGTGGCTAGGATTGTGTGGCATGTGACAGCATGGACAACAGCTGGGATCTCCTACAACAACACTCCTTCCTGCACAATGTGGGTGGGAGTGGTTGTGTTGGGTTGTGGGTGGTTGAGAGGACATCTCTCTCTTCTCTCTCTCTTTCTCCTTTTATAAAAGGGCAATACTAGAGACCTCTAATTTAGAGGCTCTAAACACCCCTCTAATGAGGTGAAAAAGGTAAAAAAAAAAAAAATCAAGACACAGCACCGATGCACTAGTGGTACCTCTAATTAGAGGTCCCCAGCATTTTTCTTTATAAAATACATTTTATGAGTTTTTTAACACTTCATAAAGTTTTTACATTTTTTCTAAAAATATTTTTTTTTTAATTTTTAATAATTTGCCTTTTAAATAAGTTGCATGAGATTGAGAAGTTTGCTT